GTGGCAACGTTATCCGGAGAATTTTGAAAACTGCAAGATTTAGGGTGCGTTCGATCAGCGAGCAGCCAGTAATTAGTACGTCTTATTGTATCGAGACGAAGGGAAGACGGACTAAGCTCCGCGCGGATCCACATTTACCCGCGCGTATTGTCCCCACACGCAAGCGCGCGTACATGTGTGTGTCGGCGTCACGAGCTCTGCAAACGTCCGCAGATTGTCCGCGAAGTTCCGTAGACCGTTCTCAGACAGTTCGCGGCGCGGTGCGCGCCTGTCTTTTGTCTTCCGTTGAAATGGAAAACGAGGGACACAGTCTGCAGAGGGACAATGGTATATAGTTCATTCATTAATCGCGACAAGCGACCCAATAAAAAGTAAAACAGTCCTCTGTATCCAGTGGACGACCTATAAAATATCGTTCGTCGCGTAAAACGATACCTTTCGGATAACAGAGATCCCTAAACGTCGTCGAAACGTAGTATTTCCAATTAGAAAAATCGTATATACTTACAAATGTCCCAAAAAAATCATCGAAATAAAATATTTTCGATCAAAAAGTGAAACGATCCTCCGCCTTGCAAAATGGCGAAGAGCGTGGCAAAATGTGATTTGGCTCTCTAAAATGTTTATATTTTATTTCGGCCGGTCGTCCGGCTGCCCTGAAAAAACGCAACAGCGCCGTCCCGGGGTGAACGATTGCGAGGGAACGCGGCCGCTCGGCGGAGTTTTCGACGTAGAAACGGGGTCGCGGCGCGCGCGGTCCGACGAAAAATGGTGCCCGAATTCCGAGCGACGTGTTCGCGGGACCGGCGATCGCCGCTACGATCGATCGTAGCGCGTCGAATCCCGATACAACGAGAGCGCCGACGAGAGCGAGAGCGTTGAACGGTGGTAGGCGAGCCGCCCATACTTACATTCAGACGCGTACCTACTACCTGCGGGCGGAGGAAACTGTAACTACCGGCAGACTGGAAGTATTAGGAGGGAGAGAGTCGGTGAAAGAGAGGAAAGAGCGAGAGAGAAAGAGGAAGAACGCGGCCGGGCCGCGGGACGCGGGAGGTACGGTGGGCGGGGAGAGCGAGAGCGAGAGCGAGAGCGAGAGCGAGAGCGAGAGAGAGAGAGGGAGAGCGAGTGAGAGAGAGCGAGAGAGTGCGCGCGCGCGCGCGCCCGCGTTAACGGCGGGAGGAGGGAGAGAGAATAAACTGGGTCAGTGTCGCGGAACTTGAAAACTTCGCTTCCGTAATGTGAGAGCGGCGCTGACTGCCGGCTGGAAGTCGCTTAAACTGCGTTTACGAGTCGGCGGTAGGTAAAACAGAAACACCAAAGAGAACTCGAGACCGAGTTATACCTAGTTATGTATATACTTGTCCCTCTATATGTATGTATAGATATAGAGGCACGCACACGCGGCGCGCCGCCGCGTATACGTGCACGGTGCCGATGCAGCGGCACGTAGACGCGACGGAGAAACGAGTGGAAACGAGCGGAGTGGAAAAGAGAGGGAACGGCGGCGAGCGCTGGGTAGAGGGGGGCGGGGAGCGAGAGGGAGCGAGCACAGCGGCTCAGTGGAAGACGTACACGAATGTACAAACTGAAGCACGCTCTCCGAGCAAGGGGGGAGCAGTCTCGTTTGTTATACCGGCGTTTCCACTGGCGGTGCCTCATTGTACACGTATATACATATAGACACACAGATTTCCTCTCCCTCTCTGTCTCTCTCTCTCTCTTTCTCTCTTGCTCTCTCGATCTCCCCACGTGCCGGCGTGTATTATATATCGAAACGTTTCCCGCCACGATTCCAATGTCAACCGCTGCGCGACGAGGAACCGGGCGCGCGCGAGGAACCAGCCGGAAGGTCTCGCAAGGTCATCATCGCTCCACGCGTCTCTAGCCGAAGGATCGTCGGCTCGCGCGCGCGCGCTCGCTCGCGAGCCGGAGAAAGTTCTCGGCTCTCATGAATTCCGCCGCGATCGTCGGCAGAGGAGAGAGAGAGAGGGAGAGAAGAAAAAAGGGAAAAGAAGGGAAGACCCGGTGCACGGAATTTCCGTTGCTCTCTCGGCGCGCCGCGCGGTTCACGGTCCCCCGTGTTCCGCCTTAACGAGTCGAGATGTTCGGCTCCGCGGGCGCTTGCGGACGGCCGCTGCGCGGCGGCGGCGGCGGCGCGGGGAGAGGGCGGCGGGAATGACCGAAGGGGGAACGGGAAGGAAGGGACTTAGGCGGCCGCGGCGATACGCCGGGGATAAGAGGGAAGGGAAATGCGCGCCCACGTATAAACGCGTATATCGTGCACATAAGCCTGAAAACACGGTGGCGTTAGGCGCTTGTTGACGCAGATAAACCGACGCCGGACAGCGTAACGTTGTATTTATAGTCTCCTTGTGCTCTCTAGCGCGCTACTGCCGCGGCCCTCTCCCCCACCTCTATCCGCCCTCCTTCCTTGTCGCGCCACCCCAGCCTCTCTCTCCCTCTCTCTCTCTCTCCCTCCCCCGCCCCGCCGACCGTGCCCTTCTTTCAATTTTTTTCCTCGTTCCGCGGCGAGATCTGAATTTTTTCGCGTGGTTTACGGTCGCGCCGCAGAGCGATTCCGCGAGAAATATATGTATGTATATCGCGGCGCGACGCGACGACGGCTACGAAAAACGAGAGCCGCGCGGCGCGGCCGAACCTCGGCGAGCCTCGCCGTTCCCTATCTCGAGATACGATGGATCGGTGTTATCGTCGTGCCGCGCGATAATCGCTAATTGCCGTCGTGCCGCGTTCTCGATTCACGGCGTACGCGAATCGTTCGCGCACGGTGTGTTCTCGCGACTACCCACGGCGAATTCTTTAAGGGATGATTCCGCGAGTTCGTCGAATAGGGGACGCGTTGTGTCCGTCGATGTCGATTTTGCGAAGCTTGCACGGGCGAACGAAATTGTTGGGACGTTTTTGTTCTTGTCGCAATTTTGGAGGATGTTTTCATCCCTCTCGCGTACGTCACGGCAAATGGAAATATAATATATTATGTAATAGTATATAGCAATTGTAATATAGTAATTATATGATATAATTATATGTAATAATTATAATGTAATAATTATATGATATAATAATATATAGTAACCATAATTTAATAATTATATAAAATATTAGTATATAATAATTGTACTATACTATGTTATTATACTACTACTACTATACTATGTAATTATACTATAATAATAAAAAGATAATGTATAGTAATCATAATCTAATAATTATATAAAATATTAATATATAATAATTATACTATAATAACTATATAAAATAATAATATATAATGATTATAATATAATAATCATATAAAATAATAATATATAATAATTATGCTATAATAGTTACATAAAATGATAATATATAATAACCATAACATAATAATTATATATTATTATAGTAGAATTACTATAATACAATAACTATACAAAATCATAATATATAACTACTATAATATAATTATTGTGGACGCGCACGTGGATTTCGTAAAAATCAGTGCGCGTTAAAAACCTCCTCCGCTATCCGAACAGCGGCGACGCTCACGCCGGGGTCAGAAAAAAGAATTAAAAGAATTCGGTAGAGTCACGATCGTACGCGAGAGAGGAGGAAAAAAAGTAACGGGCGGCGGTATCTCGCGCGGCGGATCACCGGGGCTCGCGGTCTCTCGTTCGCAACCTTACTTCGCAAAGCTTCGCCGGCCGTCGAGCACATCGGGGTCTAAATAACCTCTGGTATATCGAACCGTGCCAGAGAATCCGCGAGCGGCGGACCCCGCGAACCAGCGGCGAGCCGAACCGAGCCGCCGACGCCGCCGCCGCCGCCGCTGCCGCCGCCGCGCCAGCTACGAAGGTCTCTCTCGCAACCGCGGTCTCGTTCTCTCGTTTAATATCCAACCAACCGGCGGGCGGTGGAGGGGGGAGGCGGAAGGCGCGGAGCGACAGCGGGCGTCGAGAGACGAGGCGCGAGAGAAGAAACGTTCGCGGACACGCTCGACGGTGTACAGGACGCGCGGCGTTCTATTCTGTATGCATGTAGGATAGCGTTGGAAAGGCGAGCCGCGGAGGGAGAGCTTTTCTTTAATCCTAAGGGTGGCCGCGCGACGCGTCCATCGTTCGCCGGGGGCGCGCGCGCGCGCGCGTGCTCTCACCGAGGAGAGAATATCGTTGTTCCGACCGAGAAATATCGCGCGCTAAACAGCGATATTCGGACGAGCTTCACGGCTCCTAAACGTTTAATTATTTCGACGCCTATTGGATAATAACTCTGTCGCGTTATCGCCGAACATAATAACAGATATTACCGCGCGATCGCCGACGGTTCTAGGCAGCCGTGTTGGAGAAATTGTTCCGCGAATTTGGTACAGCAATGTCTCCCTAATTGACGCTCGGATTGTGCGCGAATGTGGACAATTTGGGGAGAGGAGACACGATTGTTCGAGCG